GCTGAGAAGGGGGGGGGGCGGTGGGTCCGCCACTACATCCCTTGGTGTACTTAGCTATTTGGATGCCGAGCATCAGACTACTACTATTGCATCGCACCATCCGAAATGGAACTGTACCTTCTACGACCGAGCTGTACCTTTTTCGAGCCCACTTGCGTTCTCGGTCGGAGTTATGGCGTAGTTAACCCTAACCCTAACCCTAACCCTAACCCTAACCCTAACCCTAACCCTAACCCTAACCCTAAGTCGGAGTTATGGCGACCTTAGACCCTAAGCTTGCGGGGAGTTTTACCCGCTTTCATCTGCTTGTACGATATTCATGTACTTGGGCAGTTTTCTATGATCGTTCCCCTTGACCGCTGGTTTAGGTTCCCGGCAAGGTTTCACGCGGGCACACTTGCTCAAGCCGTGTGGTATTTCCGTTGAACCGCCCCCGCCTCTCTTTTAGACGAAGATTTAGCGAGGTAGACGATGAAGACGACAGTTTCCAGTGTGAATGCGGGTGATTCAGAGTGCGAAGACCGGCTTCATGTAGTTGCGGGATGTCCGTTGTACAAGAAGGAGAGGGAAATGAACGTACATGACCGAGCTAGGAAAAGTGGAAGGGGGATAAAGGGAGATGTTTGAGGCATGGACTAGGAAGGGAAATACGGTAGCTGAACTAGGACATTTGCATAGGAATTGGCTTGAAAAGGCGGGAAGTGATATCGGCGGGATAGATAGACTAGGGAAGACATGTTTGAGCCACCTTTGGCAAAGTAGGAAGGAACCATTGGCCATCGGTGATCGGTCCTGGGGGAACAATGCTCCGTCCTCTCGAGGACGCGTGGTCAATGCTCTAGCCGCTAAGGCATGCTAAACATATGAGTACCCCCCCCCCCCTCGCCCCCTCTTTGTCCGGTTTATGGCTTTGCGTATTGTCCCCAATCACGCGGGCGTGGCCACCAAGAACAGGTCGACGTCAACGCCGCCGTACCATCAACAGCATCTGCACCCACGGGGCCGTTGTTGCCGGCGCCTAACGAGACCGCGCCAGGATCCGTGTCCCTGGTAGGGGTGAAGGTGCTGGTGCTCGACATCGAGGGGACCACCACCCCCATCACCTTCGTCAAGCAGACCCTCTTCCCCTACGCCCAGTGAGCCAGCCCTTTCGTCGTCTTCCTTTTGTAGATGCCACGATGTTGTTGTGTGAGGGGGGAGGGGGGTTACGGTATTTTGAGTTTTATTCCGCTGTGCCCCCGTCCCGCGGCCAATGCGACCTGCGCGGCGACTGAACAACGTATCATAGGGGTTGCAGTCGACTTTGGCCTGGAGATTTTTCTGTGCGTTGTTTTGCTCACCGACTGACTGTTTCGTCGTGAAACGGACCCCAACAAATTGTCCATCCATCCATGATCGTCGTGAACCTCGACACCCACCAACATCACGTTCACGACCACCAACTAACGCCAATCTCACCGCTACCACCGCCATCAACAACGACAATGATGACGAAAAGGGACCACCTGGCCCGCCACCTCAAGGACCAGTGGGAATGCGAAGACTTGCAGCGGCTCGTGCGGGAGCTCAAGATGCAGGTGAGAGAAGGCATTTCATATTTTATTCAACCCATTTCTTTACGGCGTAGAAAGCCGGACGAATTACGCTGAATACCTCTATCGGACAGGTTTTGTGTTCCTCTTTGTGTGCATGCAGCACCTGTTTACCGCGGGATGCATAAAAGGCTGGTGCTTGGCTGCCTCGTCGACTCTGTGTTCGAACTCCGGATACACTGTACCGCCATGTTTTTGAAGGTCGTGTGTGTGCCTTGTCCAAGCCGTGCAGTTAGCGGATTTCTGGTTGCGTTAATGTCGTTTGCCGTTGTTGTTGTTAATGTTGTTGTTGTTGTTGGTGGTGGTGGGGGTGGTGGGGGTGCAGGCACTCTCAGCCGGCTCCGGAACCATTGAGTGCGTTCCGCTGATACTGTTGTTGTTGTTGCTGCCGCTGTTGGTGGTGATGGTGGTGGTGCTGCTGCTGCTACTGCTGCTGGTGAGCAGGCGGAAAAAGACGCGGCAGTCGACGGCGGCACGCCCGGAGTCCCCCAAGTGTTGGACGCCTCGTCCGCAGGGGTCGAGCAGGCGCAGGCTTCGGTGGCGGAGTACGTACGATTCGTCATGTCTTCCGACAGGAAGCTAGGACCGATGAAGTCCTTGCAGGTCTGGTGGCATCGTTATGTCTCGTTAAGTGGCGTTGTGTGCGTTCTGCCTGCAGCTGCCGGCTTCTTTCATTTTTTATCCATCCTAGAAGTTATCGTTTTTCTGATCTGGTACGGCGTGTTTCTGTGTTGTTTGTCGAATGTTGAGTCCGCGTTCCGCGCCTTGTTGGTTTGTTTTCCCCCTCCTGGGTGCTGCTTGTGGGTTCGTTCGCTCGTGCACGTTTGCTTCACCGTCCGTCCGTCCCTCTGTCTGTTTGCGACCAAGGGACGAACACTCGCACGCTTATTTTCGTTTTCGTTCGATGGTCTCTCCCCCTCTCTCTGTGTCGCTCTGTCTCTGTGTCTGTGTCTCTCTCTGCTCCTCTCTGTCTGTCTGTCTGTCTGCCTGTCTGCCTTCCTGCCTGCCTGCCTCTCTGTCTATGTGCCTCTCTGTCTCTTGTCTCTCTCCCTCTGTTTGTCTGTCTCTGTCTCTCCGTCTCCCTCTTTGTTCCCCCCCCCCCCCCCCCCCTCTCTCTCTCCCTTTTTCCTTCTCTGTCTCTCTCTCCCTCTCTCTCTCTCCCACTCTCTCAGGGCCATATCTGGCGGCAGGGGTACGCAGACGGCGGTATAGTCGGAGTGGTGTACGCAGACGTAGAGCCTGCGTTCCGGCGATGGACGCAGGCCGGCAAGAGACTCGCCATCTACTCGAGCGGCAGCAGAGAGGTATGAGACCAGTCTTGTCGCATGCCTTCTACTACAATGTATAGAGAGTCCGGTTTTTTGAAAATATATCGTGTTTTTGACGGAGGATGGGTAACGGTGTCTCGCCCCCTACGGCAGCAGCGTGAGACCTCACGGTGCTGGGTGTTTTTTTTGGGTGTTGTTGCTGTTGTTGTTGTTGTTGTTGTTGTTGTCATCGCATTGTTTTTTCCCTTCCGGTCTCTACGTAGTACCTTCGAATATCCGTACTGGTCCAACTGAATCGGACGCCTCCCATGGTCGCAGGCCAACTACCCCAAGAGGGTACCACACACTGGTAGAGAAAGAGATGGCCAGCCGGCTCCATGCCTCGCCCTCCGACATGCGTGTCAGGACGGAGCTAGCCCTTTCCCCCCAACGCAAAGAGAAACTTGAAAAAGTTAACCCACCTATTATAAAACAAACTATTTACCACGTTTGCAGGGCGTTACGCGCTGCGAGGATATGTGAAACCCTCCACCACACCCTCGTTGTGTGCTGGAAGATTCTGCGGAGCATGAAACGTCCTCACACAAAAACTTTAACTTTGGATCATTCTGCCTTGGTTGCATTGGTTTTTACGCCTGTTCTTTCTTCGTTCCTCCCTACCTTCTGGCGCAGCGCCTTGGTCCTACGATGATGAAGTCTAAATGTCAAGCCCCGAAGGGTTTTTGGAAGATTTTCGAGCAAAGATAAGAGAACACACACACATACTTCAATCCTTTACGTCTGGTACCCGGCAAGCCTCTCTTTCGTACTACTCAATCGCCCTGTTTTTTTTTAAAGCACCCTTTCTTTTATCCTTTTCTATATTTTCCAAGCAAAAAAAAACAAAGCATCTCACGTACGTACTGTACCCTCCCTTTCCCTCAGGCGCAGCGTCTTTTGTTCGGCAAGTCCACGGCGGGAGACCTTCGGCCGTACTTGTCGTCGTACTTCGACACGTCCATCGGAGGAAAGAAGGACTCTGCCAGCTACAGGTACACCGGTACTATCTCCGAAGGAAGGAAGGAAGGAAGGAAGTCCTCCTGCCTGTCCTATTGTAGTCTGTCTGCCTACGCGTCTCATTTTTGCTGGCGAGCGGAGTGGCCTAGACTTTCTCTGTCGTTGACTTCTATTGACTTGGGGACCCTTCGGGTCTATTTTTTATCTTCGTATACCTTTTTTTTCGGTGTAAGTTAGCCTGTGACCACGGGAATGGACCCCGTCAAGTGGTAGACTAGTATGGACAGAAGAAGGTACTGAGCAGAGAAAACGGCACGGTTTTTAATGTGATGACATCAACAACAACAACAATGCTTGACTTTTTTTTTTTTATACCCGGTATCCTTCTCTCTCCCGCTGACCTTGGTGGTGGCCTTCCCTTGTCGTTGTCTTCGCTTGTGGTTGTCCTCTTGCCCACCATCCTGTCTCCCTACGCGCCATGTTTCTTCTCTCCGTTCTTGACTCGTTTTTCTAGCTCACCTCCTCTCTCCCGCTGACCTCCGCGGTTGCCTGCCTTCCCTTGCTGTTCCCCTTGACTGGCCGACGCCGGCTGATTCGTTAACGCAGGGAGATCTGCCTGTTCCTGGGAGTGGACAGCCCGTCGGAGGTGCTCTTCTTGACCGACCTTCTTGCCGAAGCGGAGGCGGCCAAGCTCGCGGGAGTCCGCGCCGTGCTTTCCGTCAGGCCCGGTAACGAGCCTCTTCCGGACGTGAGTGGTACCGGTCATTGGCTGTCTTTTGCATGTTGGTGGTGGTTGGTGTGATGGTGATGATGGCTTGCCATTGTCGTAGTGTCGATATCTGACCGGTTTTCATCCCATCACCATCCCATGTGTGTTCCATGTACTCGTCTCGATCCACTCCATCCAACCGCACCCGTTATTCGGAACGTCCCCGTCCCCGTCCCATATTCACCCCAAACAACCCCGACCCGATTCCATCCCGTTTTTCATTCCATCCCATCCCATCCCGTTTGTGTTCTCTTTCTTCCAGGAGCACCCATTCGAGACAGTCACGGACTTCAACACGATAGTCTGAAGCAATGTCACCAGCAGCTATTCCAGCAACAAACAAGCGTTCCACGGGAAATGCTAGTGTTTCACGGAAAGTGTGCTAGTGTTCGACGGGAAGGTGTTGGTCTTCCACTGAGGAACTGCGCACGAACGACAGGTAGACGACAGATCAAGTGTTGCCACGAGCAGCGGTCAGTGGAACGTGGCAGGCAGGCTCACGACGCTCGACCTCTTCGTGGCGGGGGAGCCCGGGGGAGTTGCACGCAGGCGGCGTCGGTGCTGTTTAGGCCGCCGCCGCCGCCGCCGCTGCCGCGGTCATACGTTTGACACCCGACGTAATCACACACCCCCCACCGGTGTCTGCTCTGTGGTGGTTTTTATCTGCACTCCAGGAGTGGAAAGAAGGA